ATACAATCCAAGATGGACGACATCCCAAACTGGCGGCCAAGTTATTCACAGCAGGAGCGCCAGGAAGAGTTTTTCCCCAGCTCTGTTGGGCGACACCTGCCCCAACTATGTGGGGCAGATGGTTGTAACATCATTGGTGGAATAATGGTGGCGGCGGCTCCCCCTCAAAGGCCTGGCGGAAGAGCTCCATCTTACAGGCCCTGCGGAACTGCACTAGGTCCCGCAGGGCCCGAGTCTCTTCCGGGAGCTCGTTCCACCAGGTGGGAGCCGCCACCGAAAACGCCCTAGTTCTGGTCTGGGTCAATTTCACTTCCCGGGGGCCTGGAACCTCCAGGCGATGGAAGTTCCCCGATCTCAGTGCTCTTGGGGGAATGTACGGGGAGAGGCGGTCCCTTAGGTAGGCCGGACCCTGGCCATTATTTAAAGGCCTCCCTGAATTTAAAAATCCTAGCTATGAGCCTGGATAACCAGGTTTGAAACCCCGCTCCTGCCACGGAACATTGCTGGGTGATTTTGGGCTGGTCACGCACTTCCAGCCTCATCTACCTCACAGGGTGGTTGTTGTTAGAATAAAATGGAGGAGAGGAGAATGACGTCGGCCCCCTCGGGTCCCTGTTGTGGAGAAAGGTGCGGTATAAATTTATTTACTTAATTTTTTTTAACTTCGTTTCTACCCCTCCTTTCTTCACAACGGGGGACCCAAAGCAGCTCACATCATTCTCCTTTCCTCCTCTATCTTCACAATAACCCTGTGAGGTAGCTTAGGTTGAGAGGGTGTTACTGCCCAAGGTCACCCAGCAAGCTTCCATGGCAGGAGCAGCGGGGATGGGAACTCTGGTTTACCCAGATTTGAGAGTCCGGCATTTTAACCGCTGCGCCGTGCCGGCTCTCACATAAATAGAGTAAATAAGTAAATAAAATAATCTTCTCTTTTTAAATATTATTTTTGATCATAATTACATGAAGTACTAAAAAAAAAATCCCTATACAATTTTGCAAATGATCGTCATTCCCTTCAGTCAGATATTGTTATGAATAATACAATACCAGAGCAACCTTGATTAACATTTATCATCTCACCCAAATTCACACAAGGCGCAGTCTCATCTTGGATGTTATCATTCCGGTAGCTGAATAAACGTGGACCCTTTCTCCACCGATTCGTCAGGGGTGGCAGTTTTTCTCCACCGGCCGGTTTAAACGGAGCGCAGTTCTGTCAACAGCTGTCAGCCACGATTTCTCAGTGGGATCTCTGTTTTCAAAGGCAGTTGTCCCTCTGATTATTGGTTGTTGCGGGGCAGCAGCAGGGAAGGTTTGGGCCACTGTGTCTCACTTTCTAGCCTTCTGGGGCATCTGTGAGGGATTACAGGCGGCTGAGCTACCATGATTAGATGGGCCTCTGAACTGATCCAGCAGGGCTCTTCTGATCCTGGAGGCGAGGGTAAGAAGGCAGTTCTTTCCTATCTCCCTCTCAGGCATTTGAAAACATGCTATTGGCAGAGGATTAGTGCCAGTTCTTTTTCTCCTTCTCCTGCTTTTTTCCCCCCAAAATGAAAGGGGCTGGGGATAAAGTCTGCTTGGAAAAATCTCTCCCTTTCCTCCACTGTGGTTACTCAGTGCTTGTGGCCATGCGCCCCGTGCACGTTCAGGAGTGCTGCCTTTTAAAAAATTTAATTTTAAAACTGAAATTTAGATAAATGTATACCCCCACCTTCCTCCCCAGTGGGGACCCGAGGTAGCTTACATAATTCTCTCCTCCATTTTAAATTTAAATTTCAAATTAGATTTCAAATTTTTAAATTGTGTATTCTGGAGCTGAGCTTGGGGAGTTCTAGGGCTGTCCTGGGACTGGTATGAAGCTGTGTCTTGCGTAGACCACCAGATCTACACTCATCTGAACTGCTGCCAGCAGGAAACTGCATATTGTCATGCAGCAATCTGGGCCCCTCTCGCTCAAAATCCTTCTCTGCAGCGTGCCTGAGAATGCAGCGTAGAAAGAGGCCTTAGTTCATTCCCCCCACCCCTCAAAGTTTTGTATTGTCTGCATAACAGGACTTTTTTGAATGTCACGTATACACTCTAACTGCTTCATAACTGGAGTTGGTTTAGTTTAATTGAAGGGGTTAATGGGTCTAAAAGCCCTTTTGTTTTCGGTCCCGCATTGCCACTCGAGGATTGTTCAAGAGCTCTTTTAATGGGAAAGTGTGTATGGGGGGGGGGGGGCATTCAAATCCTCAGCAACATGCCAGAGGTCTTTCTCTCGATACCTCAGAACCCTGGTGAGCCCCATCAAGTACTGAGTGTAGATTTCTGTTCAACAGCGATGTGGTCGTAGTGGGCAGCAGCCAAGCGGGAGATGTCCCCGAGAGGAAGAAGTTTGGCCGGATGAAACTTCTGCAGTTCTGTGAGAATCACCGGCCTGCCTACTGGGGCACATGGAACAAGAAGTCCTCTTTCATAAAGCCAAGGAACCCTTGGTCGAAAGACACCGTGAGTGACGTTCATTCTGCCCAGAATATGCTGTTGCATCTGTATACAACTGTTAACACATTTTCCTGTTTTATTTTAAATATTCATAGCTCACCTTATTTCAAATTCCGGCTGGCTAACGGAGCAAAAATTAAGTCGCAAAACGAAACACAATGGAGGTTTTTACAAGTGTGTGATCTGACTTTGATTTTGCTGCGTCTCCAGCCCTAGTTTTGAGAGCCAGTTTGGTGCAGTGGTTAAGTGCATGGACTCTAATCTGGGAGAACCGGGTTTGATTCCCCACTCCTCCACTTGCACCTGCTGGTGTGACCTTGGGTAAACCATAGTTCTGATAAGAGCTGTCCTTGAAAAAGAGCAGTTTCTGTCAGAGCTCTCTCAGCCCCACCTGCCTCACAGGGTGTCTGTTGTGGGGAGGGGAAGGGAAAGGAGTTTGTAAGCCGCCCTGAGACTCCTTCGGGTATTGAATGGCGGGGTATAAATCCAATCTCTTCTTCTTCTTCCAACTAGCTCATCATCCTATCTCACACAGTGGCCAACCAGTTTTTCTGGAGGGTCAACAACAGGGCAGAGAGCCGAGGCCTTCATAACAGCATCAGATGAGCCGTGCTGGATCAGAGTGAGGGTCCAGTTTGGTGTAGTGGTTAAGTATGTGGGCTCTAATCTGGGAGACCCGGGTTTGATTGCACCTGCTGGATGACCTTGGACAAGCCATAGTTCTGACAAGAGCTGTCCTTGAAAAAGAGCAGTTCCTGTCAAGAGCTCTCTCAGCCCCACCTACCTCACAGGGTGTCTGTTGTGGGGAGGGGAAGGGAAAGGAGTTTGTAAGCCGCTCTGAGACTCCTTCGAGTAGTGAAGGGTGGGGTATAAACCCAATCTCTTCCTCTTCTTCTTCCTCTTCCTCTTCCTCTTCTTCCTCTTCTTCCTCTTCTTCCTCTTCTTCTTCCTTCAGTAGTTTCACTTGCTCAACATCCTGTGTTGCCTTTTTTTTCTTAACTGGCTGTCTTTCCTCTTCGGTGGCGGGGTTCTTTTTAAGTATCAGAAAACTTATCACAACATGTGCATTTTTCCTCCCCAGTTGGAAATAGTCATGTATAAATGTTAACGTATGCCAATCGTTGCACT